AAATCCGTGTCTCCGTACAACAACACAATATGGGTAATGGACAAAAGGGGCACTGATGAAATGGGCAACAAAAACATGCGACTAGTAATTGACTTTCGCAAGCTAAATGAAAGACGGTATCCGATAAGTACTCCATGCCAAATATCTCCATGATATTTGGAAACCTAGGCAAGGCCAAATATTTTACAACATTGGACCTTAAGTCAGGATACCACCAGATCATGCTCGCAGAGCGTGATCGCGAAAAAACTTCCTTTTCGGTAAACGGAGGGAAATATGAATTTCGCAGACTCCCTTTTGGTCTGAAAACGCTGCCAGCATTTTTCAAAGGACAATCGACGACATCTTGCGAGAGCAAATCGGCAAATGTTGATACGTATACGTGGATGATGTGAATTTTTTATCTGAAAATGAAGAATCACATGTTACACACGTAGATTGGGTCTTAAAGAACCTCTACGAAGCAAACATGAGGGTGTCTGTAGAAAAATCACGCTTCTTTAAAAAGAGCGTAGGCTTTTTGGGATTCATAGTCACCAGCATTGGTGCGACAACTGAGGAGGTCAAAGCCATTAAAGACTTCCCGGAACCAAAATCCGTGTTTGAAGTCAGATCATTCCTTGGCCTGGCAAGCTACTACAGATGCTTCATAAAGGATTTTGCGGCAACAGCAAGACACATTTCGGACATCCTGAAAGGGGAAAACGGAACGGTTAGTAGACATAGGTCGCGGAACATTTCGGTCCAGTTCTCTGAGGCGCAACAACAAGCGTTTCAGAAGCTGCGAAATATATTGGCATCTGAGGACGCCATGCTAAAATACCCCGATTACAAAAAAGCATTTGATCTAACGACAGATGCATCAGCCTATGGCATTGGCGCGGTGTTGTCCCAAGAGGGTCGTCCAATTACAATAATCTCAAGGACATTGAAGGACAGGGAAATAAATTATGCTACAAATGGAGGGAATTGTTAGCTATTATTTGGGCATTAGCCAAATTACGGCAATATCTGTACGCAGTAAAATACATAAATATCTATACTGATCATCAGCCCTTAAACTTTGCGGTCTCGGAGTCGAATCCGAACGCTAACATCAAGAGGTGGAAGGCGCGCATTGATGAGTCAGGTGCGCGTATTTTTTATAAGCCTGGCAAAGAGAACTTGGTCGCGGACGCGCTGTCCAGACAACAACTCAATGCCATGGAAGAGCAGGAAGCTGAATCATGCATAGCCACGATACACAGCGAACTCTCCCTGACCCACACCATTGATTCTACTGACAAACCGCTGAATTGCTTCCAGAACCAATTGATTCTCGAAGAGGCGCGCTCCCCATCGAAACGCAGCTTCATACTGTTTGGGAACAAAAGGCGTCACTTAGTTAGCTTCTCATGCAAAGAATCATTGCTCAGAGAAATCGCAGATATTATCGTTCCTAATGGCGTAAACCCCATCCATTGTGACCTACACACGTTGGCCATGGTACAGGACCAGCTGGTGCGACAATTTCCAGCAACAAAATTTTGGTACTGCAAAAATCAAGTAACAGACATTTTCGCAGTTGCTGAGAGACGGGAAATTATCACAGCTGAGCATAATACGGCCCATAGATCGGCCCAGGAAAATGTGAAGCAAGTGCTCTCCGAGTAATACTTCACGAAGAAGGCAAAATTGGCCAGCGAAATCGTCTCAAACTGTAAGGCATGCGCGAGAGCCAAATATGACAGACATCCAAAAAAACAGGAACTTTGCGAAACGCCAGTCCCATCGCAAGTGGGGGAAATGGTGCACATAAACATTTTCTCTACAGACAGGAAATACTTTCTCACATGCATTGACAAGTTTTTAAAATTTGCAATGGTCCAACCGATTCTCTCTAGAACAATAGAGGATCTCAAACCAGCCATATTACAGCTCTTGAACGTTTTCCCCAAAGCTAAGGTGATCTATTGCGACAATGACCCGTCATTGAATTCGCACACTATTTCGACCATGCTGGAAAACCACTTCGGCGTTAGCGTCTCGAATGCGCCGCCCCTCCACAGCGTCTCGAACGGACAAGTAGAACGCTTCCACAGCACTCTGGTGGAACTAGCCAGATGCACAAAAATCGACAAAGGCATCAGCGACACTGTAGAGTTGATTTTACTGGCCACGACAAAATACAACAAATCCATCCATTCGGTTATCGGTAAGAGGCCCGCCAACGTGGTAGTCATTCAATCGAATGACCCACAGTGCAATATAGAGGGTAGAATAAGGCATGCCCAGGACAAGCTAAGAAGCAGGGAAAATGCCTCCCGGCGGAACAGAAAATTTAATGTCGGTGACAAAGTCCTGATAAAATCCAACAGTAGACTAGGAAACAAGCTTTCGCCGTTATGTGAAGAAAAAACAGTAGAAGCGGGCATGGGGACCACAGTCCTCATTAAGGGGAGGATGATCCACAAAGACAACCTTAGGTGGGCCAAGCATAACCATGTTATCGCTCGCCTGATAATTTTTCATTGTTAATTACTTTTATCCCTAGCCACTTGGCGTAAGCTTTTCATTACTATTATTTTTAATCATACCGCTTTTTCTGTGCTTTGGTGGTGGGTTAACCCGTCTTTAACAAACAATACAGTATATCCGAATTACATAACAGACTACTCAAAAGCCAAACACATTCCCATCGTTGATGGTCGTATTTTGGTATTGGAAGAGTTCGCATTTGTAAGACCCTCAGCGAATCTCTCGGAGTATAGGCGCGTGGTGGAAAAGACAGACGGAATGACCGTCAGGTTCCCACAATCGCATATGCAAAAACTTTTGAGCGCGGATACCGCACACTTGCGTAACCTGCTCACCATAGAGTAGCCAGGAGTTTAGACTTTCTAAGTAAAGCCTTATAGGTAGTAGCGGGAACGCCGGACGCCGAGGATTTTGAAAAAATTAAATTCAACGAATTCCAACTCATTGATGCAAACAATAGGCAATTAAATATCAATACCAAAGTCCAAGACCAAATCAATAGAATATCCACTACTGTCTATCAACTTCTGAGGTCGGCTAAGGAATCCCAAATTGATACGGGACACCTATACGAGATGTTACTAACTCGTAATAGGATGATGGTAATGGAGCTGCAGAATTTGATGCTTGCAGTCGCCCTTGCAAAAATCAATTTCGTTAGCCCTAGCATACTAGATCATGCAGACCTAGAAAGTGTGTGGATGGAAGAGCCCACGGAGACCGCCATCAAAGATGTTTTGTCCGTAGCGTCCGTGAAAGTTTTACAATCCATTAACATCTTACATTTTGTTATTAAGTATTCTAAAATTAAGTCAGACTGCAAAAAACTGCTCCCCCGCTGCTCCGTAACACCTGGGGCCACATTTTGCTAACTGGCGCTAAGAAGTTCGTGCGCCCAGGAGCTCCACGCTGGAGGCACTGCGCACTGCGAAATTCAGCAAAGTGACCTGCATCCCGTCACTTACGTTGACGATGGAATTGTCATTGTAAATGATCGCCCGGCACGTGTAAGTGTGGACAATGGCACTTACGTCCACGTACAGGGTACCTACCTCATCACCTTCATTGAGAGTACCACAGTCAACGAAACCCGATTTGTCAACCATGACACAGCCCAGAAAAGGGCTCCGGGAGTAGCCCGCTCGCCTTCTCTGAACGTCACTATGGAACGAAACATCCTTAGTCTTCCATTCCTTAATCGATTAAGTGAACGTAATTTGGAACACATCAAACGATTCGGAGAAGAGGTCAACGACTATCGCTTATATCAGATAATGCTAAATGCAGGAGCAATATGCCTCGCGTTGATCTGCATCGGATTAACCTATCGGCGATTCACCCAGGCCAGAAGAACGACGGCCCAACTAAAAGAGATGATTGCTAGACTAGAGTCGGCCGAGGGCGGCCTCATTCCTGAGGGGGAGTAGTTAAATAAGTTAACCGGCGGCGGCAATGACCGTTCGTTCGACGGCTCGCTCCGGCCAAAACTGCTGACACAGTGTCTGGCCGGATGCCCATGCATAGCCGATAAACACAGCATATTTGCGTGGCCGCTATGATTGTTAGCTTTAAGTTCAGTTTCATTTTGATTTCAATAAAGAACAGACATAACTCCGGCCACTGTCGTGAACTTACTTATCTCTTGGAACACTAACTGAGTCTCTAGGCCAGTAGTGAAAGGAAGACAGTCATCTTCCCAATCTAATCTTCGTAACTCATCAGTTAGAGAGGAGCCAAGCACCGGCCAACCGGCTATTCACACGGAGGACCAGATGTTGCCCACCGCCCCTACAATACAGGACAGCAGCGTGGGACCAGCAGCTAACGTGCATAATTCGCAATTGCTACGGGACAACAGCGGGGGACAAGCAGCGGAACCACACAATTTAATAATTTATATATACATATTTATTAGAGTTCGGAATAGTAAGTATAGTAGGGATATCACAATATCGAAAATAACTATTATTTTCTTTGGACCACGTATATATTGAAACATTGATATAAAATTTGTTTGTTTTTTAGTTATTATTTAAAAACTAAGGATAGGACAATATACCAAAGAACTGGAACATGAATATCAAGAAAGTAAACACCGATGATGCATCAATGTTTTAAATTTTAAAAAATTTGCAGTTATTTTAATGCATTTTTATTTGCATTTGTCCGTGAACATCGATGTTTCTCCACCTCTAACACATGCATGCGTATTAATACGTACATATGCAAGCCCTCTGCAAAATATGTACTTAACGGAGAAACGCACATACGTTCATACGGCACACCCTATAAAAATTCGAAAAGCACTTTATTTTATTATACATGTTATCAAAATAACCTGATCCCACCAAACACAATTTATCATATTATACATATTATCAAAATAACCTGATTCCACGAACCCTTCAAAACTAAAAGCGTTTCCAACATTTGCTTATACTTATTCAGCAGTGCTATTTCGCACACGAAAAATATACATAAATACATACATTCATTTTGTGCAAGCTGTGGCGGTGCGAAATATATTTATTTCCATATTCCTTGCGCTCATTTACGCAGCTCAGCAACAAACTGCAAATATCTTGCAGAACATTTTTTCCGAATTTTCGTTGTTTACGTTCATATGAAAGCAGTTGTTTTTAAAACATTTAAACTTGCACAACTGTTCCGTTTCCACATATTCCAAAGGTAGATCGGAGTTGCAACGCTAATGGCGAACACAAGCGGACCGCTTGCAATTGTCTATAACTAGGAAACGAAGTAGCCGCTGCGATATACAAATCCATCCAGGTTTGCCCAGTTAATCTGATTTCTGAAATGCCAGGAAACAAAGCAAAGTTATCGGTTCCATCTGCAAATAATACGCGATCGCTATCGCATTTCCTCGAGCGCGCACCTCAAGCCCAGTAGCTCGAAAAGCAATAACGAAGGGAAGGAGCGAAACTTCATTAGCCACCCAAGAAGGCGACAAGAAGTTGTCTGTTCCTACGAGCCATCAGAAACGATTGTCTCTAAGTCCGCTCACGCCAAAGGTTAGGTCACAAATTCAGACCAAGTCAGTAAAGTCGCTAGCAACTAGTTCTCAGGCAAAAATGAGCAATGACATTGCATTTGAAGCCCATTTGAGCCATTTCAGAGCGACCATAGAAACTCCAGGAGAGTCAGCTCCGTCCGTACATACCTGCAAAATCCGTAAGGAACAAGTCCGCACACTCTGGGACAAAGCCGAGAAAGAATTTAAAGCGTATCTAGACACGATTTCCAGCATTACGACTGAAGGAGCGGAGGAGACTCTGGCGACTCTGCACCGAAAATATGAATATTGTTATTCGGTGTAGGAGGAGCTATCGGTTCATCTGAGCGAGCTCAGCATTCGACAACGACCAACACTAATCAGTCCACTTACATTCCGTCTGGGTGCCGGTTACCGCCATGAGATACTGAAGTATTCGAAGGAGATTATCTAAAATTGCCAACATTTAGAGATCTTTTCACAGCAATTTATGTCAACAACACTCGGCTGACACCGGTAGAAAAACTTTTCCATCTCAACGCTAAAACTAGCGGCGAGGCTAAGGCAATCGTAGCCAAGTCCCCTGTCACAAATGAGAGTTTCGATTCAGCATTGGCAGCGGTTCGAGACCCTTTCGAAAATAAAAGACTGCTAGTAAACAGCCAACTCAAACTCCTTTTTAAATTGGGGTCCGTCAATTCCGAATCAGGCCAGGCTCTGAAAGATCTTCGGAGCACAATCCGAGGGTGTTTTATCGCTCTGGCTTATTCCCACATTTCCACAGAGAACTGGGACTGTCTCCTGATATTCCTGTGCGCCAGTAGATTACCAAAACTGACCCCCTCCTTTTCGGAGTAGTCCCTTTCATCCAAGTCCGATTTTCCGACTTGGGATGAGATGAACACGTTTCTTGGTGACCGATACCGAACGCCAGAGGCGATTGAGGATATAAAACCAAGCCACAGCAATTATTCTACCACTAAGAGTCAACCCGTCTGAACTCCTTCGAAGCTAAAGTGGTCACAAAACCAAAGGAATTACGATCTGTGCTCAAAAGAGAGCCATCTAGTACGCTTACGCCAACGTTTTCTCCAGATGTCTGTCGATGCGCGAACCAACTACATCAAAAAAGCATCTTTTTATCCCCGTTTATTGTCCGCTCAAAAATCTTTATGGAAAAGATTTGGTTGCAGGAGTTGGGCTAAAAAGATCCCCACAGAAAAGAAGCAAAAATGGCAAGATTTTTTGCGCAGCTATTCCGAGCTTGAGCAGATCCGTATTTCAAGGTGGGTTGGTTTCCAGCCAGAGGTGAAGGTAGAGCATCATCGGTTTTGTGATGCGTCGCAGAAGGCATATAGGGCCGTTAAATAACATTATAACACGTCTGCTTACCGCCAAAAGCCGAGCCGCCCCTGTTAAAACGGTGTCCCTACCACGGCTCGAGCTGTTTGGGGCATTGCTGCTGTCAGAGATGATTTCAGATATCCTTCCGAATATGCCAATTTCCAATTCCGACATTTTCTGCTGGACTGATTCCACTGTCATCCTCGCATGGTTTAATAAGCCGGCGTGCCACTGGACCACATTCGTTGCCAACCGACTAACCAAGATTACTCAGGTGACGAGCGCTGAGCATTGGGCGCATGTGCGATTTGAGCATAATTCTGCGGACCTTCCGTGAAAGTCAATATCGCAAAGGCCCCATCCGAAGATTTGCTTGAACGATTCTCCACGTTGAACAAGGCGCTGGGGGTCCTTGCGTACGTATTACGGTTTTTTCAACGCTGCCGCAAGATGCTGATCGACCTACCAAGGAAGGGGACCGAGAAGCTGAAAGAGTCCTTATTCGATATGATGCGCGGGGATAATATATCCAAGAGCTCAAATTCCTAAGCGATAAGCGTCCGATTCCAGTTTCCAGCCAGATTGCCAACCTGTTTCCATTTCTAGACCAACAAAGCCAGTTAAGGGCGTGTGGTCGCAGTACAGCCTCAACGGCTCTTCAGTATGACGAGCGGCATCTATTATACTGCCATACAACTGTCGGTTAGCTAGTCTGCTAGTCATTTTTTCACTATTTACGCACTATTTACAAGAAGAAAGTACAGACTCAATTAATGGGCGATCATCCGACCGATCAAGTTTCCTTTTCCAGGCCATTTACATATACGTGCATTGATTATGCAGGCCCGTTTGAGATAAAAAACTATACTGGCAGAGCATGCCTTATTACCAAGGGATGTGTTTGCGTGTTTATGTGTTTTTCCACGAAGGCTATCCATTTAGCCCCAGTATCCAGTTCAGTGCGCGATGGAACGAGGAGTACTTAAAAGAACTTCATAAGCGCAATAAGTGGCAGAATCCTTCTAGAGATATCCAAGTCGATGATATGGTGGCCGTCAAAGAAGACAATATGCCATCAAACGAATGGCGGCTCGGCAGAGTTGTATTTGTTCTTCCAGGAGCTGATAGTAGAGTTCGCGTAGTAGAGGTCCCTACTGCTCGAGGGACTATAACACGTCCCATCCACAAACTAGTACTTCTTCCTAGGGAGGACAAGGCAACCTCCGCACTTCCACAATAATGCATTTTGTCCTCAATCTAGTACTTCGTCCTATGGAGGGCAGCAACCTCCGCTTTTCCAAAATACCTTCTGTCCTTATGCTTCAAAATCCGTTTACAATTGATACTAAATTCGCTTATAATTTTTGTTTTGTATTATTAATGGCTCTACGTCCTCGCAGTGCCGAAATTTTGGGCGACAGACGTTCACGAGGGACTCTGTTCTACCGCTGCCGAGTCTGTCGTCGCTCAGCACGAAGAAGCAGCTCCGTGTCGTTCTCATCAATAAATATTGTACGAACTGCCTGGCTCATCAGCACTCCAGGAGGCAGTGTCGCAGTAGCGACACGTGCAAAAGGTGCGGGCAGGACCATCACACGCTGCTCCACCTGCACGAGATGGCCGGGATTTCTCGTCGGCAGCCTATCCAGCGACATCGTCAGACGCCTTGGCCGCCACGGCGTCAGCAGCCTTCCCCGCAACGCCGCCTATCGCTGTCAAGGGCAGTCTGCCGGCCTCCTTCGCCATAGGCAAGGCAAGCGCGTACACCAGTACGACGTCCAGCTTCAGCGGCAACCCCATCAGTAGCGGCTCTACTGCAGCATAAGAGCCTCCACATTCTCCCGACGGCCATCGTGTTTCTGAAGTCGGGGACCATCAACTTCGAGACGGCCGCGTTGATCGACCCGTGCACTTCCGTCATCACCATCTACAGCTCCCTGGCAACTGGGTTCAAGTTACACACGAAGACAGTGAACGGCGAAGAAGTCTGTTCGACGACAATCCGGTCAAGAACGGACGATTTCAAGATCGACGTGCTCCAGAAGATCAGCCCAAGTCTACGCATCCGGACCCGATCCGCGCGCTTAGTGATACTATGCGAGCCCAATTCGATGACATCCGTCTTGCCGATGAGCAGTTCCATCGCCCAGCAACAGTCTCGCTGGTGTTAGGCTCGGACGTATACGGGTTCCTAATGGTCTGCCTGTCGCACAGGGCACGGTATTTGGATGGGTCGTGTCTGGAGCATGCATGTTTCTCCACTACGCTCTCCGAGCGGCGCTTAAAATTTTCACTTCGTAGCTTTAAGTTAGTTTTAATTTGCCAGTGTAACCGCAAAGTCGAAGACAACAATAAATAAACCGTGAAGCTTATAAATCGGCCCACGTGTTAATTATTTACCGACGACAAAGAGAACAAGTACCAATGGAAAATCCGCCCCCTCCAAAAACATACTCTTAAAGATGTTTACAAAAAAACAAAGCTCTGCCACTTTCGGCGCGTGAGTTATGGGCCTTGAGTCCAAGTTATAATAAAATTATGAGATTGAGTCCCAAGATATGATAACCTTCTCGTTTGAATTGCTTGTTGAGAATGATTCTTTATTATAAAAATGCTTAGGTTATATGGTGCATGAAATATGGAATAATGGAATCGAAATCTGCATCGTCGGCAGATTTTGAAAGGCAGCTGGCGTGATCGCTGCCGTTGGGCTATTTCGCTTAGTCGGCAAAATAGTCCAGACGTGGATCAGCATATCCAGCGGATGTCAACAATGTTGCAACAATGTTAACATACCGAGTGACCCATATGGGTCGCTCGTTGGGCGGTTTGTTGGGCGGAGGCGAGACAGTGGTAGGGGAAGAGGCAGTGGTGGTAACTCGTGCGCAACGGATGCCGTAACATGCTTCTAAAAGATGTGAAAGAGAGAAAGAGTGTGAAAGAGTGTGAAGTGACACTTTATTAGGATGAGCAACTTCCAGCAGAATCCATTTTGATTAAAGGGATAAAGGGTGCTGAGGGGAAGTCGCAATGACATAGAGACAGATAGTTAATGGGTTTTGTGGGGGGGAAAACCAAAAACCCAAATTTTAATAAATAACTTGAAACATTGACCTCCACTTGACTAAAAACTTAAAAATTTTATTATTGAAATTAATAACTTCTCATTTGCAGGATTTAAGATATCCTCATGTCAGGGTAGAAAAGAAGAAGAAAACTTGAAAATTTTAGAATTAATTCGGCAAGCAGGGTGTAAAGAGAATCATTTTTGAAACCTAAAATCTTGAATGTGCACTATGTTCACGAATCAAATTAATTTGTTTCTCAAACAGTTTGATGGAGTTGTACAAAATTCTCACTGTCTGCGACTTCTCCTTATTAATTCAAAGCTACTTGAGTGTGAAAAAAATGATAAAATGAGCTAAAATGATAACTTCCATCCATGGCGTACACCGAGAAACATGTATCTGGAGTAAGGACTCAGCTACGGAAGGAATCGACACTTGTGGATGACATAAACAATTTGAGTACGAAAGGAAGGCAGCAAACATTATGAATATACATATATTATAATCTAAAAAAAAGAATGAGACGAACATAAGAAATACAAAAAGTACTTCAGACTATATAACCTTATAACAGTTTTAAGATTAATAATTAATAATTTCATCATATATTGTAAACTAAAAACAAGACACAAAAACAAAAACACTGAAATAAAGAAACACATTTTTTGTTAAAGTAAATATCTGTTTTATTTATTTCAGTTAATATGGGAGCGAAAAATTAAAAGATTTTTATATTTGAATTTTAAATATTTTTATTTTATTTTATTTTATTTGTATAAAATTTTTGTTTAAATATCTAAGCTATTGGCAACATTTATTAAAAACTCATGGTCTTCATCTTTCAGTAAATTTAGATACTGATTTTCTAAGTCATCCACTTTTACATCGTCAAAGAGGTAGTCGGTGTCTGGAAAAACAATTTCTTCCCGGTCATTTATATCAATCCTTTGAGCACTTTGAAAGTGCTCATACAAAAACTCATTTTCAAATACATTTCAGCTCAAAATGGGAAATCTTCCCATTTGAGTGGTTCGAACTCTTGTGGAATCGATCGAGTAGATGTTGAGGTTGCCCCCTTCTCCTACTTCCCTCAGATTCCTGTCTATGATATCTTCTTCGTCTAGAGCCATTATACAATTTGGCTCCGAGTCTTCAACGACCACCACATCGGAGGATTGGTCAAGGATTTCGACATCCGTCAAGAGTTCCAACGCTTGAACCGATTCGATGAATTCCACGGATATTAAGCTGATATGTATGATTTGGTGCTCCTGATGAACTGATGCTGAACAATTTGACTGTTCCCATTTGTATACATAAAGAGCATACAGATTTGTTATACTCCTACACCCCCTTGATAATTTTATCATGGTGTGTCCATGGACTCATATCGGTTCTTATTTTGTCTGTGTTCCTTTATTTTGAAGAAATCTTAAAAACTGTGAAATTTTAACAAACAACTTGAAATTTTCCTTAAGATGTTCCCAATCCTCCTAAGACATTCCAGCAGTCAGGAATAAACAAAAAGATTAATTCCGTGCCAAAACAAACCTCTACCACTTTCGGCGCGTGCGCAACGGATGCCGTAACATGCTCCTTAAAGATGTTTAGAATTCAAATGCATGAGTGTGGGCTATGAGAAAACTGTGCGTTAACACATCGAAAACTGAGAAAAACTGAGAAAAAAAAGAAGTAAAAACTGAAAAGCGTTGGATGTAATTGTTAAACAAGAAAAGATAAAGACGAGGAAAATCTAAAAAGTTAAAAAGATCGACTAACGTTGAAGCAGCAAATTGGTGTACACAGACTACAAAAGTGCCAAAAATTTTGCAAATAACTCTATTGTGAGCGAACCCAAAAACTAACTCGAAAAAAAAACTTGCAACGCTAAATTTGCGCAGTAGAGAAAAGAGAACGACGATATAAAGCAGTGGACTGGCCACTTGCTATATTTGCGACAACAAAAGTTTCCCTGTGGCGAAAAGAGGAGCTGCAAGAACTTGCAAGCGACGCAATCCGCCAAAAAATTGCGAAGAGACGAGCAAGAAGTGGCAACGAGACGAGCAAGCAGTGCAGTGTGACGACATCGTAGAAGAGTACGAGCTGGAGTAGCATAGTGGACTGGATTGGCAAAATTCAAGCAGACGTAGAAGACAGCAAAATCCAATTGGGTGTATATTTGGATTTGGATATATTGGGTTCATAAATTTAAACTGATTTGAATTTTTTTTGAATACACGAATTGTTTAACGTCAATTAAATTCTTACTTTGTTGTATCAAAACATTTAAATATTGAATTGTACAACTGTTTGTAAACGGCTTGAACGCATTGCTATGGATGCTAGAACGATCCTCGATATGACTGTGCCTCTACTAAGCGCAAAGTTATCCGAACTAAGTTTGGATACAACTGACAGAAAAGAAGCTTTGCAGGATCGGTGGTTCGATCATTATGCATTAGATGTGGCTGACGATGAGGACGGCGAGGCTGATGGGGAAGTTGCGAGTATTAGTAGTGCTTCCAATTACCAAGAGGCGGTTCAACTTAGTAGCTCGAGATTTACACTCCGCGATATTCAGGACAGTGTTTCATCATTTTCAGGCTCCGAACAGGAAGACGTCAATCACTGGCTGTCCGAATTCGATGACATTGCAGTTACCGTGGGTTGGGATAATTTGCAGAAATTTATTTATGCTAAGCAACTTCTAATGGAGCAGCCAAGCTCTACATTAAAATTATAAGCGGAGTTAGGGGTTGGAATGAGCTAAAAATGCGTTGAAGGAAGAATTCGGTAAAAAGCTATGTTCGGCAGAGATACGATTTTGCGCAAAAGGCAAAAACAACCAAAAGAGACATGCCTCGAGTATCTCTATAGTTTAATGGAGATCACCAAACCGATAAATCTTGATGAGGAAAGTATAGTATAGTACTTCATAGATGGCATCCCAGATAGCCAGGTCAACAAGGCAGGGTTGTAGCGAGCGAATACCATCAGGGAAAGCCGAATTAAGCATTTACGAAACTTTAAGGGTAAGGGAAATACTAAAGACAATTTGAACAGAATATCGACAGGTAAACCGACTCAGAGCAATTTTCAAAGGAAATGCTTCAAGTGTAACAGCGAAGGCCATATTGCTAAGGATTGCAAAGGCGAGGTAATGTGTTACAAGTGCAACAAGAAAGGGCATATCTCTAAAAATTGCGATGAGAATAAAGAAACTATTTCCGTTATGAAAAAGTTTGCAAACATACTGGAAGTAAAAGCTGCGAAGGGACTCATTTACAAAAAGATGAAAGCTGAAGGAGTGACGTTCATAGCCATGATTGTTTCGGGATATGAATGGTGTTTGATGAGAGAGGACATTTTCAGAAGTTTTGACGGATTGAAGCTAAACCAATAGTTAAGCACCTGAGAGGTATTGGCAAGGGCGTACTTGTGTTTCGACGTCGATCTTGAAGCTGATGGTGTATGCTTCTCGGTAACTTTCCATGTCGCCAAACAGAACGAACTCGAGTACTCTGCGGTTGTGGGAAACGATGTGCTACAGTCAGTCGACGTAATGTTCTGTTCCAACGGCGTCGAGTTCAGGTCAAAATAGAGAGACTTTGCATCGACATTTAATGGAATGTGTGTCACGGAGATTGTCGAGAAAAGTTCCGTCCTGGATAAAATTAATTTATCTCACCTGACCGACAGTCAAAAACTAAAGGTACAGGAAGAGGAGCAACAGATCGCAGCTACCCAGTCGCCCTCCAAAAAAAACAGGATGCAACCAGTGGAGGTAGTTCCACCGTCGAGCGAGGAAGAGTCCGACGCTGAGGAGCAGATCGACGATCAGGTTGAGGACGATAGCGACTCCGAGGCAGAAGACGCGGCTGATTTAATTGACGATGAGGCTGAGAAAGATGAAGATGAGTATAGTGACGAAGAGGAAGATGATGACGAGAAGGTGGGGCTAGGAGAGGTTTCAAAGACCACAGACGCGGGGAAGGAAGAAGACTCCGACGAAGATGATGAAGCCCCTGTAGAGGAGCCTGTTTCCAAGAAAAGCAAGGAAAGTAAGAAACCCGGGGAATCCAACTCTGAAGGATTAAAAGAAAAGAGCGGAATTCCTAAAGTGTCCGTTGGTAGGATTCCCATAGGAACGCCAAAAAATCAGATTGTCTATGCCGCGAACATTCCAAATGAATACAAACACAAGGATGTGGTCACCTTATTCGCCAAGTTCGAGCCGATCTATGCAGTGCACCGTATCACTAATAAGTTGGGTTCCAATTCAGTCATTATGGCCTTTGATCCGCCGGCTGGAGCAAAAGCCGCTTTGCAAGCCAAGCATAAGGCGCTGACTCTTGG